TCCAAGATGCAAGCGATAGCGCGTGGCTCCTGGAAGCCCCCAGCCCCTTCGTCTTGGTGATGGTCATCATTCCTTCTTGGTGGTGGCGGTAGAGGAGGAAGGCCTACGTTGCCCTGCGGGCGATCCTCGTGAGGCTAGAGGATCAAAAGTATGTCTAGAGAGGGGGGGTGACTAGACTACTTGACCAAATAAAAATCTAGCCTTTTCCCAATTTTAGTTCTTGGCAGATTTTAGCAACTTAGCACAAGTCAAGCAATCAACCTACACATGCAATTCTAAGAGTTTAGCAGTGGAATGTAAAGCAATTGCATATGAAGGTAAAGGGAGGAGTTTGAGGGAGCAAACGCAATGTTGACGCGGAGATTTTTTAGTTGTGGTTCCGATAGGTGGTGCTATCGTACATCCACGTTGATGGAGACTTCAACACGAAGGGTAACGGATGTGCGAGTCCACAGAGGGCTCCACCCACGAAGGGTCCACGAAGAAGCAGCCTTGTCTATCCCACCATGGCCGTCGCCCACGAAGGACTTGCCTCACTAGGGTAGATCTTCACGAAGTAGGCGATCTCCTTGCCCTTACAAACTCCTTGGTTCAACTCCACAATCTTGACGGAGGCTCCCAAGTGACACCTAGCCAATCTAGGAGACACCACTCTCCAAGAAGTAACAAATGGTGTGTTGATGATGAACTCCTTGCTCTTGTGCTTCAAAGATAGTCTCCCCAACACTCAACTCTCTCTCACAGGATTTAGATTTGGTGGAAAGAAGATTTGAGTGGAAAGCAACTTGGGGAAGGCTAGAGATCAAGATTTATGTGGTAGGAATGGAATATCTCGACCTTAACACAAGTGTAGGTGGTTCTCTCTCAGAAAATGTATGTTGGAAGTGTAGGCATGCTTTGATGGCTCTCTCCATGAATGAAGAGTGGGTGGAGGGGTATATATAGCCTCCACACAAAATCTAACCGTTACACATAACTTACCAAACTCGGTGGGACCGAATTGTGAAACTCGGTCGGACCAATTTAGTAAATAATGTGACCGTTAGGATTTTCGGTGGGACCGACATGTCATCTCGGTGGGACCGATATGGCTAGGGTTAGGGCATAACGTAATCTCGGTGAGACCGATACACAAACTCGGTGAGACCGATTTTGGTAATGGACACACAGAGGGTTGGTCAGGCAAACTCGGTGGGATCGATTCGCTAATCTCGGTTTGACCGAAGCGTTACGAAAGGGAAACAATGAGTTTGCATTGCAATCTTGGTGGGACCGATCTCTCATCTCGGTTTGACCAAAACGTTACGAAGGGAAACAAAGAGATTGCAATCCCATCTCGGTGAGACCGAGATCCCCATCGGTGAGACCGAAAAGTCTAGGGTTTGTGGCAGTGGCTATGACATCTGAACTCAGTGGCGCCGGATAGATGGTTTCGGTGGGGCCAAGTTTGACTTTTGGCTTGGGTCATATGTGGATGTGAGAAAGTAGTTGAGGGCTTTGAAGCATATCACTGAGCATTTTGAGCAAGAAACTCATTAAGCAACACCTCATCCCTTCTTGATAGTATTGACTTTTCCTATAGACTCAATGTGATCTTGGATCACTAAAATAAAAAATATAGAGTCTTGTGCTTTGAGCTTGAGCCAATCCTTTTGTCCTTAGCATTGTGAGGGATCCACTTTTCTCATCCATGCCATGCTAATCATTGAGCTTTCCTGAAATATTTATCTTGAAATAGCATTAGCTCAATGAGCTATATGTTGTTAGGAATTACCAAAACCACCTAGGGAAAGTTGCACCTTCAGAGGCTGATCCCTCCAGGCTCCCTCGCGAGGCTGGTCCTGCCAGCGATCCTCGCGAGGTCGGTCACGCCACTCCTGACGAGGGCCTCGATCGTCCCATCGTTCTCCACCTCTTCCTCCTCCTCGGCCGTAGCCCCGATCATTGCGCTCGGGGCATCGACCGATGCATCCTTCTCGAACGGCACTGAGCTCCTGGCATTCGTTGGTGTTGTGGGTGTAGAGGTTGTGGTAGGCGCAGAATCGGCTACCCTTGGACAACTCCGGCTGGTCCCTGCCGCGCTTCGTGTCTGGCTCTGCTGCGAGCACGGCTGCTCCTTTGCGCTTCACGTCCTTGGCCTTGGCTTTCTTGTCTCCTGGGTCAGCAGCTGGAAGTTCGAGGAGGGAGAGGCGTCCTTCCTCAGCCCTTGCGCACTTGGTCGCCAGGTTGAACAGCTCCAGAGATGTGCACAAATCCTCATGGATGGCAAGCTCCTCCTTCATCTTGACGTCACGAACGCCATTGGAGAACGCTGAGATGATGGCCTCCTCAGTCACCTTGGGAATCTTGAGGCGAGCGCTATTGAAACACTGGATGTACTTCTGTATGGTCTCTTCAGGCTACTGCTTGATGCGGCGCAAGTCACCCACGAACGGAGGGCGGTCGCGAGTGCCCTGAAAGTTGGCGATGAAACGGCTGCGCATCTCGTCCCAAGAGGAGATCGAGCCGGGAGGCAGGTTCAGGAGCCAGGTGCGGGCACCATCCTTGAGCGCCATGGGAAACCAGTTCGCCATGACTTTTTCGTCTCGGTTGGCCGCCTCGATGCCTAGCTCGTAGAGCTGCAAGAACTCCGCGGGGTCGGCAGTGCCGTCGTAGCAAGGAGGCAGATCCGGCTTGAACTTGCCCGGCCAGGCGACGCTGCGCAGCTCAATGGTGAAGGCACGACAGCCTGTCGTGGCCACCAGAGCCTTTTGCGGACGCGGGGCCTGCTCTTGATGGTTCCCGCGCGCCGCCGCCAGGGGCAGCGCGGGGTCTTGGCATGCGGGTGCAGGGATGCGGTCTTGCCGTGCTGGGGCAGGGAGCACGTGAGCGCCTTCTTGAGATCGAGGGATTTCTTGGCAGCTCCTTTCTTGTCGCGCGGGCACTGGACACGGTGGGTCTCGTCCAGGGGCCGCGCGCCTTGGAGCCATGGCGCCTTCTTGGGGAGGAGGTGGCGGAGGCGTTCCCTGAGCCGCATCGCCCATGCAGGACGGAGGGCGAGGCAGCGAGAGAGATGACGCAGGAGAGCCCCCTGCGACGCTGACGAGCTCGGTGATGCGAGCGAGCCACTCCTCGTAGAGGTCGTCGACGGGGCGGTAGTGCAGGAGCTCACATGCCAGGAGCAACGTGGCCTGCACGTCCGTGGGGGCGCGACGAGCGTGAGACGATGAACCAGCTGGAGTCAGCGACGGAGTGGCGGTGCGGCCTTCCAGCCGCACCGAGGGATGCAGCGAAGATGCCTGCTGCTCGTTCCCCGCCGGGCCGGTGACGGCGTTGGCGGCGTTGGCGGCAGGCGATGGAGAACGACGAGGAGGCCCACCGACGGGGGCCGTCTGGGCGACGCGGGCGGCGAGAGCAACCCGGCGCTCGGCGCGAGCTTGGCGAGCATCTGCCATGGATGCGACGAAGCGATGGAACGCAGATCGGCGGAAAAAGGATTTCTGTGCACCCCCGCCTGGCGCGCCAAATGTCGGATATCGGGTTCCGGCAAAACCCTTAAGGTTCGAACTCTCGGGTGCGCACGAAGGTCTTCTCCCTACCGAACTACGCCCAAGACCTCGCCGCGATTCTAAGCTAGCACGATGAACAACACAAGAGACACAAGATTTATACAGGTTCGGGCCACCGTTGTGGTGTAATACCCTACTCCTGTGTGTGGTGTGGTGGATTGCCTCTTGGGCCGATGATGAACAGTACAAGGGAAGAATAGCCTCACGAGGGGTGTTCTTGTGGTGGTGTGCTTGGAGAGGAATTGATCCGTCTCTGTTGGCTCTAGATGAGGTTATCTCTCTACTGTGGTGGCTATCTCTATTTATAGAGGCCCTGATCCTCTTCCCAAATATTGAGCGGGAAGGGAGCCAACAACGGTCATTATAAAAGGGGACAGGTAGTACAAGCTATCCTGACTAAAGGTGGTCTTCGACTGCCAAAGGCACTGGCGATGACGCCGTCTTGGGCTCCACGGTGACCTCCGTCCTGCCGCTCTACTGGTCTTGGTCTCGTTGCACCGATATGGAAATCTTTGCCTGATGCCTCGGTACTCCGTGCCTGCGCTTGCCCCCTTTGCACCAAAGAGGAAACGAGGACACTGTGTGGGCTGGCGCCCGCCTGGCGCCCGCCTGGTCTTGATCGTCACGGCTTGCATCATGGGCACCTCGCGAGGTACCCCTTGCCTTGATCTCTCCGCCTCCTCGCGAGCCCGCCTGGTGAGGCCGCCCCTGAGGAGGCCTTGTGTCGTCCGCCCCGCGAGACTTGGCCCCTCGCGAGGGTCTTGAGTGTTTGTTGATGAAGACGGGCCGTACTGGGCCACTGCTGAGCCACGCTGCAGGCCGCAGGCAGGCAAGTCTGAGGACCCCCGTTCCTAGAACGTCGACAGGCGGCGACTGCTACGACGATGGTGGACGGCGCGCGAGAGAGGAGGGACGGGTTAGGGATTGAAGAGGGGAGCTGCTGGTTAGGGATTTGAGGATTAGGGATTCCTGTGATTTTACACTTAACCCCTCCATAAAAGATTGACCTGATCGGAGCTGAGAACGTGGCAGTCAACAAGTGGTCAAACGAGCCTATACGCACCGCATACGAGCAACAATTACCATATTTTCACGTCACATCATATATAATGACCGTAACAACCGTATTCTAAAGTTGGATGACTGTTGATTCAACTCTAATGACCGTGGGTGTATTTATCTCATAAAGCAATCAGCCACTTAGAGCAGGCAGAAAAATAAGGCCCTTGACGTGGCCGTTTTCTGGCCATAACTCACACCACCTTGTGTAGTGCCTGCCAAGAGCTAGTCCATACACCATCAACCCCGAGACCCAATCACCCAAACAGCCAAGTAGCCAAAAACTCCAGCCTTCCTACACCGAGAGCACCCAAAGCGCAGGCGCGCGTTTGATCAACCCCTGTATTCCCTCGCTCTTCTTTTCGTCCCCGTCGCACCGTCTCCCACCGCGCGATGGCGCCGAGCGCAAGCCCTAGCCCGGGCCTAGCGGTTACGGCGCCGGTCCACCAGGCCCGCGTGCGGGTGCTCCACCCGGGGCAGGGCCTGCCCCCCGCTGGCGCGAAGCCCGGCCCGGTGGTCTACTGGATGCTGCGGGACCAGCGGCTAGCCGACAACTGGGCGCTCCTCCACGCGGCGAGCCTCGCCGCCGCTTCCGCGGCGCCGCTCGCCGTCGCGTTCTCCCTGTTCCCGAAGCCGTTCCTCCTCTCCGCGCGCCGCCGCCAACTCGGATTCCTCCTCCGTGGCCTCCGCCGGCTCGCCGCCGACGCCGCCACCCGCCGCATCCCCTTCTTCCTCCTTACCGGTACGCCCTTCGCCTTTATCCCCTTCTGGTGGCTGACTTGTCGGCCCCGCGTTTTCGGAAGAGGGAACTGATTTCCCGGTACGAGAAATGTGCTGTAACCGTTTATTACATTTCGCTGACAGGTGGGCCCATGGAGATACCAGCGCTGGTGCAGCGGCTCGGGGCGTCGGCGCTGGTTGCCGACTTCTCACCGCTCCGGCCGGTTCGCGAGGCACTGGACGCAGTAGTCGGCGCGCTGTGCCGCGATGCTGCCAGTGTGGCCGTTCACCAGGTAGAATTCGAACCGGAATCACAAGGGAAGTTGCAGTCGTTTTCAGGGGAATTCGACTGAGAGACATGCGGGCTTTGTGGGGCATTGGCACGCAGGTGGACGCCCACAACGTGGTGCCGGTATGGGCGGCATCGGGGAAGCTGGAGTACTCTGCCAAGACCTTCAGAAGCAAGATGAACAAGGTGTTGGACGAGTACCTGGTCGACTTCCCCGAGTTTGCAGAGGTGGTGCCATGGGACAGGGACCAACCAAAGGACATTGATTGGGATACGCTAATTGACACGGTTTGCAGGTCCGGATGTGTTGCGATAAATTTACTGCATATGTGATGTGGAATGAAGAACTTGTTATGAGTGGTGTTCGATTCTTTGCTGATGTTGCAGCCAGGCAGAGGACGTGCCAGAGATTGACTGGTGTGAGCCAGGCGAGGCGGCAGCAATGGAGGCACTTCTGGGTACCAAGGATGGGTTCCTAACGGAGAGGATCAAGAGCTATGATTCGGACCGGAATTATCCCACAAAGCCAACGGCATTGTCCGGCCTCTCTCCCTACCTGCATTTTGGGCATATTTCAGCACAAAGATGTGCTCTCGAGGCAAAAAAACGTCGCCATCTTAGTCCCAAGGTGCCATTATTTACTTTGTGAATCTTGCGATTTGAGACCTTATGCAATAAAATGATACTCCTATATCATTAGATGTCAGAATATATTTCTTCTTAACAGCACCAAACGGCAAATCTGAATTTCAGTGCTGAAGTTAGTATTGTTATCAAACAGTGAAAGGCCAATGACTGATAGCTCTGTGAAATATCAATTGTTTGGGAACAGTCAGTGGATGCTTTCTTGGAGGAGCTGATAATAAGGAGAGAGCTAGCCGACAACTTCTGCTACTATCAGCCTCACTATGATTCGGTAGCCGGGGCTTGGGAGTGGGCGAGGAAGACACTGAAGGATCATGCTGCCGACAAAAGAGAGCACATTTACACGTGACTATATTTTGTATTTGGGCTATATATGTATATCTGCTTGTCAGCAGTGAGGCAAAAGGCTCCTTAACTAGAATTTACTTTGGCTTGCAGGAGGGAGCAGCTTGAGAATGCAAAAACAGCTGATCCTGTATGTTTTAAATAACACCGTTCTACTCCTGGAGATACTAACGTCATTCTTACCTCATTTACTAATCGAGTTAGGTGTTTTCTTCTTGGATTCTTTATCAGCTCTGGAATGCATCACAGTTGGAGATGGTCCACAATGGAAAAATGCATGGATTCATGCGGTAAAATAAATTATGCCTAGTTACCTACTTTAGATATCATATTTTTAATGCATTTTATTTGATCTTTCATTATGTTGATGTCATTTGGGTTGGTACGAATTGCCTGAGAAGATTATTCTTGTTGCTAAAAAGATGAAAAATTAAACTAATTATGTCTATAATCCATTAACCCATGAAGATCTTACAGGTCCAAGTAGGTGGCAAATCTGTGCGATTTAGAAAAAGAACATTTGAGTATCTATACTTCTGTGTTCTAAATTATTGTTTACTTCTGCAGTTATGTTCTTTGTAAAGCATATTACTCTGCCCTGACATGGTAGTTTTCTGCAGAATGTATTGGGCCAAAAAAATTCTAGAATGGACCAGTGGACCTGAAGAAGCACTTTCAATAGCAATATATTTGAATGACAAGGTAATTTTGAGATGTTTGGCAACATTGTAGAGTTTTATTATGTTGCATTTCTTGGTGCTGGCAAATAGCTTCAATTGATAAAACACATGAAGCACATTATACAGTCATAATGAGTGAGAAACTAAACTTGCCAAATTTTAGTGTAAGATCCTATGCAATTACAGATCTCCTGAAAACACCGAACCATCAGTTGCAAGAGCCTACATTTGATTAAATTTGTTTATAGTACTAATTATGGGACAACAGAATTTATGTTGATATGGTGGTGTAACAAGTGAAGTTGACGCCGGGCTGAAGTCAGCCAATCACTGCAAACTCTGGCGAAACAAGTCCAGCAGCCATGGGTATCACCTGGACAATCCAAAGGGATCACGTAGCAATTAGGAGCATCACAGCCCGAATCCAACGCACTTTAGTTATCAACTAGTGCGCACGCAGATATTGTCTGCCTCCACCCTCCAGTCATGCCAATTTTCTGGTTTTCTAGTCTCTGAAAAATAACCTGTCCCCTTGTATGGCCGGCTAGGCCTTTATTTATAGTGCACCCAGGCACAATGCTATACTGTCTAGGACTCCGTTTCCATGCCCAACGGGAGCATCAGACTAGGACTAACATTTTTACAACAGACATGAGGACAAAACCGCTTCAGCCACCATTTTGGTAATGTAGGATGCAACTAGATTGCCAACTAATACTCGTATTTTATACGAAAACCTATGAACCGACTAACTCAACAGCCGGCCTTAGAGAAACTGCCCTGATTCCATGCCATCACGAGCATCCTGAGAGGCTTCAGCTACCATTTTGAGCAAAAGGCTGAAGTTTTGAAACGGTGTGTGCTATTTTCAGAAGGTTTTCTTGCCTGACTTTCTTAAGCTTAGATTGCACTTTGCCTAATTTGTTCTATGGCATTTAGCTTGTCAATACCACCAAAGACTTATGTTGTCCTGCACATAGTTACGACCTACAAGTATTTCTGTCGCCTATGCTGGAGAGAAGAACACCGTTTAGTGTTCTTTGTGAATGCTGATTGTTCTGAAGATGTTTTTTTAACCCTACAGTGATTTCCTTTTAGTCGCAAGTGGCAAATAGATGTCCAAGTTACGTCTAATAATCAAGAGAAATTTTGCTTGGTTGGTTCTTTTACAACAAGTTGGATGTAAGATGTCCATTACAAGTTGGGAAAAAGATCCCCAGGGAATAGCTCGAAACTATATCTAGATTGCCATAACCACCATTTTATCTTTCCTAGTTCATGTTATTAGCTGTTCACTTTTAAGTACTTGGAACGATTGGTAAGTCTTTTTAGAAAGCTAAAAAGTTCTGCTTCTCATTGCATTGATAGAAATAAAATGGTTATAAGTCTAAGGCTAGGCATAGCAACCGAACACAACCACGGAGGACAACAACTAACAACCATTAGACAGTCGTTAGTTGTTACGATAGACAAACCATCAAACCTGCATCGGCTGTAATCTGTTGCAGTATGTTTTTGAACTAAATCTTTGGAATTAATCTGTTGCAGTATCACATAGACGGCAGGGACCCCAATGGCTATGTTGGTTGCATGTGGTCTATCTGTGGCCTCCATGATCAGGTTGGTGAGATCCCCTTGTTTTGCATTTAAACCCTTGAAAATCCTATTCAGAAATGCATTTATTAATCACAGTTTGGAGGCTTGTGAGTAGTTTTTACAACCGTACTATTTTCTTAGGGTTGGAAGGAGCGTCCGGTATTTGGAAAGATACGTTACATGAATTATGCTGGTTGCAAGAGAAAATTCAACGTCGATGCCTACATTTCTTACGTCAAAAGATTGGTTGCTCAACCCAAGAAAAGGAAACCGGAGGAATCTCTGAATTCAGCAGCCAAGTACTCGAAGTCTGAGAAGGACTAGTCCAGCTACTAACTCTAGTTCCGCATTGATTTTGTTTCTGGTCTATAGTGGTAATTGGCAGTTAAAGACAACTTAAATATTGCAATTAGTTGTTTGTTCATTTTAGCTCGTGGGTTACATAGGATTTTTTTTGCGGGGAGGTTTACATAGGCATTTGATCTTCAACAGTAAGAATGTAGAGGCATGCTCTCTCGCTCCATGATGCATCTTCGAGAAATCTTCGCTAAAGGCACATATACCTGTGTACTCACGTCGTCACATCCTCTTGCCCTGCTTCTCCATGAGAAACTAGACCGCCTCCTCCATCTCGCTGCCTCAATGAGAATGGCATCTCAAAACTGCGAGGCGCAATGAGATCAGACTGGATAGCACTCCCGCTCGATCTCATTTGTTACTTTGCCGACCTCATCCTTACCACCAGCGAGATGTTTACATTGACACACAACACATCTACATGGCATGGAGGGACCCCATGGAGCATCGATGCCATACAAATGCTAGGACAACTTCCTCCAATTTCATCCACATATGTGGGTGACGACACTAGTCAGCCTCTTCGCGGGCCTCTTTCATCTGTACTCACTGCTCAGTGGGCATACCCTCCTCAGGGTGTCTTGGAGACTTCATGATTATACTCTTTGGTGGTGAGGCCACGTTGTAACCAAATCTGAGTAGTAGACGGACATGAGAGAGGCGTAGGGTGTATTATGACGTTCTTGGACAGCGCAGGCAGTGAGCATCTGGGCTAAGTTCATGTGGAAGAAATTAGCATGTGTGTTAAGTCTACCTCTGAATAATAGCCAAGCAAAGATCTTAATTTTGTTGGGGGTTCTTAAACGCCAAATGAGATCAACATGATCATCCTCGTCTTCGTGCATTGTGATATATATCACATGTTGCTTTGGAGGAGAAGTTGGATCCATGCACAAGGTTGATGGAAATATGCCCTAGAGGCAATAAATAAAATGGTTATTATTATATTTTCTTAATCATGATAAAGGTTTATTATTCATGCTAGAATTGTATTGATCGGAAACATAAATACATGTGTGAATACATAAACAAATACCGTGTCTCTAGTGAGCCTCTACTAGACTAGCTCGTTGATCAAAGATGGTTAAGGTTTCCTAACCATAGACATGAGTTATCATTTGATAACGGGATCACATCATTAGGAGAATGATGTGATGGACAAGACCCACCCGTTAGCTTAGCATAATGATCGTTCAGTTTATTGCTATTGCTTTCTTCATGTCAAATACATATTTCTCCGACTATGAGATTATGCAAATCCCGGATACCGTAGGAATGCCTTGTGTGCTATCAAATGTCACAACGTAACTAGGTGATCATAAAGATGCTCTACAGGTATCTCCAAAGGTGTTTGTTGAGTTGGTATAGATCGAGATTAGGATTTGTCACTCCGAGTATCGGAGAGGTATCTCTGGGCCCTCTCGGTAATACACATCATAAGCTTGCAAGCAAATGACTAAGGAGTTAGTCACGAGGTGATGTATTACAGAACGAGTAAAGAGACTTGTTGGTAACGAGATTGAACTAGGTATGAAGATACCGACGATCGAATCTCGGGCAAGTAACATACTAATGACAAAGGGAATAACGTATGTTGTCATAACAGTTTGACCGAGTAAAGATATTCGTAGAATATGTAGGAGCCAATATGGGCATCCAGGTTCCGCTATTGTTTATTGATCGGAGAGGTGTCTCGGTCATGTCTACATAGTTCTAGAACCCGTAGGGTCCGCACGCTTAACGTTCGATGTCGATTTGGTAACATATGAGTTATGTGTTTTGGTGACTGAATGGTGTTCGGAGTCCCAAATGAGATCACGGACATGACGAGGAGCTCCGGAATGGTCCGGAGGTAAAGATTGATGTATAGGACGATGCTATTTGGTCTCGTTTCGGAATGCGCCGGAAAGTTATCGGAATACCGGAAGGGGTTTCGGAGGCACCGGGAGAGTATTGGGCCTTATTGGGCCATGTAGAGGGAACACACCAGCCCACATGGGCTTGTGCGCCCCCCCCCCCTAAGGCAGCCACGCGCAATTAGATGGAAGGGGGAGGCGCCACCTCCTCCCACCATATCTCCGGAAGGGAGAAAGGAAAGAGAAGGGGCGCCTCCCCCCTTTCCTTCTCCCTTGTGCATTATATGGAAGGGGGCGCACCACTAAGAAAATCCTAGAGTGGCCGCCGACCCTATTGGAGGCGCCCTAGGGCTGCCTCCTCCCCTCCCACACCTATATATATGTGGGGAGGGGTGCCACACAATACAAAGCTTATTCCACGCCGTGTGTCGGCACCCCTCCGCCTCTAGTTTACTCCTCCGCTCTAGATCGTCGCAGTGCTTAGGCGAAGCTCTGCAGGATTGCTTCACCACCACCGTCACCACACTGTTGTGCTGACGGAACTCATCACCACCTCTCTATGCTTGCTAGATCAAGACGGCGAGGACGACACCGAGCTGAACGTGTGCAGAACACGGAGGTGTCATGCGTTCGATACTTGATCGGGCGGATCGTGAAGGTGTACGACTACATCAACCGCGTTGAATAAACGCTTCCGCTTACGGTCTACAAGGGTATGTAGACACACTCTCCCCCTCATTGCTATGCATCTCCATGGATAGACCATTGCGTGTGCGTAGAAATTTTTTGTTTTCCATGCTACGTTTCCTAACAATGGCATCAGAGCCAGGTCTATGCGTAGATGATATGCACGAGTAGAACACAATTGAGGTGTGGGCGGTGATAGTCATACTGCTTACCACCAATGTCTTATTTTGATTCAGCGGTAGTGTGGGATGAAGCGGCCTGGAGCAACCTTACATGTCCACGCACATGAGACCGGTTCCACCGACAGACATGCAACTAGTTTTGCATAAAGGTGGCTAGCGGGTATCTGTTTCTCCTACTTTAGTTGAGTCGAATTTGACTACGACCGGTCCTTGAAGAAGGTTAAAATAACAAACTTGATGAATCGCCGTTGTAGTTTTTGCGTAGTTAAGAATGGTTCTTGCTAGAAGCCCATAACAGCCATGTAAAACTTGCAATAACAAAGTAGAGGACGTCCAACTTGTTTTTGCAGGGCATGTTGTGATGTGATATGCTCAAGACATGATGTGATATACATTCTTGTATGAGATGGTCATGTTTTGTAAATTATCGGCAACCGGTAGGAGCCTTAGGGTTGTCTCTTTATTGTATGAAGTGCAAGCGCCATGTAATTAATTTACTTTATCACTATGCATTAGCGATAATTGTAGAAGCAATAGTTGGCATGACGACCTCAATGCAATGATGATACGATGGAGATCAAGGTGTCAAGCCGGTGACGATGGAGATCATGACGATGCTTTGGAGATGGAGATCAAAAGCACAAGATGATGTGGCCATATCATGTCACATATTTTGATTGCATGTGATGTTTATCCTTTATGCATCCTATTTTTCTTAGAATGGCGGTAGCATTATAAGATGATGCCTTCACTTAATTTCGGGATAAAATTGTTCTCCCTGAGTATGCACCCTTTCTACAGTTCGTCATTTCGAGACACCTCGTGATGATCGGGTGTGATAGACTCTACATTCACATACAACTATTGTAAGACAGTTTTGCACATGTAGAATACTTGGGTTAAACTTGACGAGCCTAGCATGTACATATATAGTCTCGAAACACTGGAGACCGAAAGGTCGAACATGAGTCATATAGTAGATATGATCAACATAGAGATGTTCACCATTGATGACTACCCCATCTCATGTGATGATCAGACATGGGTTAGTTGATTCGGATCATGTATCACTTAGATAACTTGAGGGATGTTTATTTAAGTGGGAGTTCTTAAGTAATTTGATTATTTGAACTTAATTTATCATGAACTTAGTTTTGTAATTTTGCATATCTAGCTATGTTGTAGATCAATAGCTCGCGATATAGCTCCCCTATTTCGATATGTTCCTAGAGAAAACTAAGTTGAAAGATTATAGTAGCAATAAAGCGGACTAGGTCCGTGATCTGAGGATTATCCTCATTACTGCATAGAACAATTATGTCCTTGATGCACCGCTAGGTGACAGACCTATTGCAGGATCAGATGCAGATGTTATGAACGTCTGGCAAGCTCGATATGATGACTACTTGATAGTTTAGTGCACCATGCTTTACGGCTTAGAACCGAGACTTAACATTTTGAATGCCACGGAGCATATGATATGTTCCAAGAGCTGAAATTGGTATTTCAGACTCATGCCCGTGTCGAGAGGTATGGGACCTCTACTTTGCCTACAAGATGGAGGAGAATAGCTCAGCCAGTGAGCATGTGCTCAGAATGTCTGGGTACTACAATTGCTTGAATCAAGTGGGAGTTAATCTAACAGATAAGATAGTGATTGACACAGTTCTCTAGTCATTATCACCAAGCTACTAGACCTTCGTGATGAACTATAATATGCAAAGGATGAGAAAAATGATTCCCAAGCTCTTCGCGATGCTGAAATCGGCGAAGGTAAAAATCAAGAAAGAGCATCAAGTGTTGATGGTTGACAAGACCACTAGTTTCGAGAAAAGGGGTGAGGGAAAGAAAGAGAACTTCAATAAGAATGACAAGCAAGTTGCCACTCCCAGAAGCCCAAAGTTGGACCCAAGCCTGAAAGTGAGTGCTTCTACTGCAAAGAAAATAGTCACTAGAAGTGGAACTGCCCCAAATACTTGGTGGATAAGAAGGATGGCAAACTAAACAAAGATATATTTGATATACATGTTATTGATGTGTATTTTACTAGTGTTCATAGTAACCCCTAGGTATTTGATACCGGTTAAGTTGCTAAGATTAGTAACTCGAAACATGAGTTGTAGAGACTAGTTAAAAGCGAGGTGACGATGTGTGTTGGAAATGATTCCAAGGTTGATATGATCACCATCGCACGCTCTCTCTACCTTTGGGATTAGTCTTGAACTAAATAAATTTTATTTGG